CTTTAGTAAAGGGTCTGAGGGTAGTTTTTCTACAGACTGAGAATGACCCAGAGTTGTTTTAGTTTGAATCATTTCTATTGTTCTACTTCCATGTTTCACTGACTCTTTCCTGTGTCATCTCCATTCTGTCCTTAAGCCCATTCAGTGAATTAAAAAAATTCAAATACTGTGTTTCTGTTCAAAAATTTCCACTTAAATTTTTTTTTCAGTTTCTCTTCTGAGACTTACTGTTTTTTCCCCTTCATTTTGAGCATATTTTCTTTCTTTTTTTTCTTTTTTTGAGATGGAGTCTCGTTCTGTCGCCAGGCTGGAGTGCGGTAGCTGGATCTCGGCTCACTGCAAGCTCTGCCTCTCGGATTCAAGCGATTCTCCTGCCTCAGCCTCCCGAGTATCTGGGACTACAGGTGCGCGCCACAACACCCGGCTAACTTTTGTATTTTTAGTAGAGACGGAGTTTCACCATGTTGGCCAGAATGGTCTGAATCTCCTGATCTCATGATCCGCCCGCCTCGGCCTCCCAAAGTGCTGGGATTATAGACCTGAGCCACCATGTCCGGCCTTGAGAATATTTTCTTTTACCTCATTCAGCTTAGTTATAATAGCTGTGTTAATATCTTTGTCTGAGATTTTCAGCATCTGGGTTGTCTTGGAGTTGCCCTCTGCTGATTGTCTTTTCCTTTGCAAATGGGTTTAATTTTTCTAGGTTTTTTTGTTTGTTTGTTTGTTTGTTTGTTTTTTGAGACAAGGTCTCTCTCTGTTGCCCAGGCTGGAGTGCAGTGGTGTGATCATGGCTCACAGCAGCCTTGACTACTGGGCTGAAGTGATCCTCCTGCCTCAGCCTCCCAGGTAGCTGGGACCACAGGCATGCATCACCATACCTGGCTAGTTTTTTTAAAATTTATTTTCATTTTTTGTAGAGACAGTGTCTCACTGTGTTGCCCAGGCTGGTCTCAAAAACACTTTGGGCTCAGATGATCCTTCTGCCTTGGCCTCCCGAAATGCCAGGATTACAGGCATGAGCCACTGTGCCCAGATGATTTTTCTTGTTCTTTATGTAATTTGGAATTGTATTCTTCACATTGTGAATGTTGTATTGTGGAGACTTCGGTTTCTGTTGATGTTTTTGGTTTAGTAGACAATAACTCAGACTCAAAACTGCAAACTCTCTCACACCTGCAGTGGGTGGCAGTTCAAATCTCAGTTCAGTTCTTTTCTCTTTAACTGAGGTCTTTGGATTCTGCCCTGCCTGAGCCTGCCTTGCATGGCTTAGGGTTCAGCCAGAGACTGGGCAGAATTTACACACAGAACCCGAGACTCTCCTTCCTTCTCTGGCTCTCTTTTTTCTTACTTCCCGTGATCTCTGGCTGCTCTGGGCTGTTTCTTCAGGACAGAAAACCTAGGGTTTGTTTTTTAATTGGAACCTCAGCTCGACCAGCCTCAGGCCAGAGCTCCAAAAATGGGGAGTTCATTCCATGTCAGCCCTTTCTTCCAGCTTTCAACTTATTTTCAAAATCTGCCAGCCCTCGTTCACTTCAGATAGTTTTTGTGTTTTATCCAGACTATAGTTGTTGTCTGTGGGAGGGTCATACTGAAAGCAGAATTTCGTACTGACATTTTTATCTATTACTGAAGTGTTTGGGGGACAAAAATGTTCACTTGAACTGGTTTTGTAACCTTGGGCAAGTCTCGTTTCCTCTCTGGGACTCACTTGCTCCTCTGGGAAATGAGGTGGTTGGACTCTGTGATCTGTAAGGATCCTTTAATCTCTGCTTCTAGGCAGACAGACCCGTACACACATACTACCACCGCTGTCACCACCAACAGTAACAACAAACAATAAGTGCCAGAAGAGATGCTTGAGGGAAGTGATGAGGATGGGTCTGTCATGGTGGAAAGCTCTCTGAAGTGGCATCACTAAGGAATTTGAGGATGTTTACAGTCATCCTCTTGTTTTGGGGACAGAGGGTGAGTACACTGAGGATGCAAGAAGTAAATGGCATTCAGAAGAAAGAAATCAGTTGCTGCTTGCTTCTACCCCTTAGAAACAGGAGAGAATGTAGACAGTTGAAAACAAATCAGGGTTAGCTGGAGTTCCTCTTTCCTTTTGGCAGTGCATTCTGTCTTGTTTTGAAGAGAAAAGCCCCTGGGCCTTAGTAACATGTCAGCAAATTTGGCAGTAGGTGGTAGGTGCTGGGACAGTAGATTTTAGCAGGGGTGCTGCTATCACTGTTAGGGCTGCAGAGACCTTAGGGGAGATAGACTAGATTTATGTGACCTTTTCTTAGGGTTCAGAATTTTTATGTAGGAGAGGTTTTAGGCTATGCAGAAGAAGGTGTGTGTATGTGTGTGTGTGGGTGTGTGTTTGTGTGTGGGTGTTGTGTGTTTATGGTGGGTGGGGAGGGGGAAAGAGACAGGTGGTGATGGGGCAGGACAGAAGGCCTGTGGAACTGCCCTAAAACTGTTTGAATACCGATCACACTTACTTTAACTTCCATTGATTCTTTTTTAAAAGCAGAGGGTGGAGAGCTAAAGCTTCCCCCACATCCACCTAAGCCATCTCTTGGGTACTGCCTTGGTATAGATCCTTTTAAAAATTATTTTTAAAGGTAGAATGTCACTCTGTCGTCTAGGCTGGAGTGCACTAGGACAATTGTGGCTCACTGCAGCCTCAAACTCCTGGGTTCCAGGTGATCCTCCTGTCTCAGTCTCCCAAGTAGCTAGGACTATAGGTGCGCATCACCATGCCCAGCTAATTAAAAAAATTTTTTTTGTAGAGATGGGGGCCTTGCTTTGTTGTCAAGGCTGTTCTCGAACTGGGCTCAAGCAATCCTCCTGCCTTGGCCTCCCAAAGTGCTGGGATTATAGGCATGAGCCACTGTGCCTGGCCTAGATCCTTTTTGATACTTATTTTCTAGCTGTTTTTATTATCAGTAACTTTTTTTTTTTTTTTTTTTTAGACAATGTCTCACTCTGTCGCCCAGGCTGGAGTGCAGTGGTGCGATCTGGGCTCACCACAAACTCCGCCTCTTGGTTTGAAGTGAATCTCTTGCCTCAGCCTACTGAGTAGCTGGGATTACATTCACATGCCACCACGCCCAGCTCATTTTTGTGTTTTTAGTAGAGACAGGGTTTCACCGTATTGGCCAGGCTGGTCTTGAACTCCTAGCCTCAGGTGATCCACCCGCCTGGACCTCCCAAAGTGCTAGGATTACAGGCGTGAACCACTGTGCCTGACTGATACTATCAGTAACTCTTCTCTTTGGGAGGCTGACGTGGGAAGATTACTTGAGGTCATGAGTTTCAGACCAGCCTGGGCGACATAGTGAGACCTCATTACTACAAAAAAATTTTTTTTCCAAATTTTATTGGCTTGAGGCTTGAGTTCCTCCTGTTCCCCTCATCTTTTAAACTATTTTTAAAAACTCTCATTATTTGTCCATCTTCATTCTAGCCTTTTTGCTCTCTAGGAAGAGGCAGGGATGGATTCGTGTGTGTGTGCGCACGCGCAGGTGCATGTGTGTTTGTGTGTGCGCGCGCCTGCGTGCGTGTTTTGCTGGAGGTGTGGAAGTTGGATTGAAGGGACCAATAGTCTTGGAAGGCAGTCACAAGGTCGCTTGCAGGGATGTGCAGGGGAGGCAGTTGTGATGAAAGAAGGGAGGATAGTTTGAATGTAAGATCATGTACAAAAGCTTTAGGTTTACCACTAGCTTAGAAGCTACCTTTCCATTTTCCTCAAGAGTAAGTGAGAAACACAAGAAGTTTGACCCAGATTTTCCATCTCTAGTAGCTCTTCTCTGGTTTTAGGGGTAAGATTCAATGGGATGGTAGGCTTTTCAGCTCTCCTATAGAAGGCTGCTTATTACAAAACTAGAGGGTAAGTTTGCAGACAAAGAAGCTCTATTTTTAGTTCTAATTGATATTGGGTGGTTCAGGGCTCTTTTGAGGACCGAATCTAGAAGGCAACAAAATGAGAACCAGCATGGTGAAAGGACTTTCAAAGTCAGACAGACTTGAGTTTAAACTCTGTCATTTAATAGCAAGCTGTAAGACCTTGGACAAGTCACTTCTTGAAACTTAGATTCTTTATCTGTAAGGTAGAGGTAACATTATGTTCTTATTGTCTTATATAAAACATAAAGCATAGTGCTCAGGGTTGGTAAATACCCCACGTATGTTTTTTTCCTATCTTCTAGAACATCTTATTTTTACTAGAATCCTTTCTTTTCTGCTAAATAATTGCGTGACTCACTACCAAGTTTTAGTTTCCTTCCGTAAAACAAGGACATTTAACTGAAGGTTGAGTATCCCTTATCTGAAATCCCTGGGACCAGAAGTGTTTTAGATTTCAGATTTTTAAAAAAAATATTTGCATGTATATAGTGACATGTCTTGGTATAAGACCGAAGTCTAAACATGAAATTCATTTATGTTCCCTATACACCTTATAGAGCCTGAAGGTAATTTTATTTTTCTCCAGGGGACATTGAATAAACCTGAGTATTGTCTGCCTGTGTTTTGACTGCGACCTATCACATGAGATCAGGTATGGAATTTTCCACTTGTGGAGTCATGTGGGCACTCAAAATGTTTCAGATTTTGGAGCATTTTGAATCTGGGATTTTCAGATTAGGGATGCTCAACCTGTAGTTGATTTCTGAGATGCTTCCTAGCTGTAGGATGTCATATACATTTTTAGACTGTTGAGGAATGTTTAGGTGTTTTAATTTAAGCAAAGACAGTGGGTTCTACCCTAGGACCATATCATCTTATAGGGAAGGGGAAGTCTCCTACAGCCAAATTCTTTCTTGACTTTCCTGAGAGAGACATAGCCAGCTTAGCCAGTTTCCTTTAGTGTCAGGATCTAGATGCAAGTTTTACCTTGGCCCCTTGCTGACAGTGAATTATATGTAAAAGTCTTTGGGACAACCCTCTGGGTCAGCTCAGTCTTGGTATGATTCATGCATTACCTATCTCTTGCATTCTGTTTATATTCTATCCAGGTCAAGAGACAACTGTCTTTGAAAGATAGTGAGTGACTGTTTCCAAAACTGCAAGCAAAGGGAGAGCCGCCGGAATTATTGACGGAAAGCTTGAATTGCCTAAATGGTAAGTATGTTGTACAGTGAAACCTGGGCATACCAATAGGATTGGGTGGTTTCTGAAGCCACTATAATTTTGCCACTACTGGAAGTGGGGAGGAAAGTCAGTATTTGTGATGGCCTATTATGAACCAAATACTATGCTGAGTACTTTACATGTTTTCTCCTTTAACCAACCAATCAACCTGATGAGGGTGAAAAATCCTTGCATGAGGTCAGCAACCAAAAGAAGTAGGCCATCCTTAAGAAGTAGCTACCATTTATTGAATATTTACTCTATGTCGGGCGCAGTCCTGTTGGACATGTTAGCTCCCTACCAACCCTATGAAGTAAGTACTGTTGTGATCACCACAAGGAAACAAGCTTAGAGAGGTTAAATAACTCTTCCAAGTTCACACAAGTAGTAGAACTAGGTTTCAAACCTGTGTTACTTTCTTTCCTTTTTTTCTGAGACTGGGTCTCACTCCCATTGCCCAGGCTGGAGGGCGGTGGCATGATCATGGCTCACTGCAGCCTTGACTTCCTGGGCTCAGGTGAGCCTCCCACCTCAGCCTCCCGAGTAATTGGGACTACAGGTGTGCACCACTATGCCCAGCTAATTTTTTTGTAGAGACTGGGTCTCTATATTTTCCAGGCTGGTCTCAAACTGCTGGGCTAATGCAGTCCTCCTGCCTTGGTCTCCCAAAGTGCTGGGATTATAGGCATGAGCCACCACCACAGTGGGTTATTTTCATTACACTGTAATGTTTCTCTTTTGAGAAAGTTACTTTTTGGTTGAGGCTGTGACTGATTTAACGTTGGAAAAGCAAAGCAAAATACAAAACTTTTTGATCAACAACTAGCTACTTTTCCTAGCCATATGTGGATTTTATGTGCCAATATTTTATTGGTTGCTGTTGGCTAAGGCAGAGTAGAGCACTAATGAAATAGAAGGGAGAGAAGTGAGAACTTGAGTGGTGAGTGGCCAAGAGACCCAGTGGTCTTGGTTGCTACTGATAGCTGGATGATAGAGAAAACTTCCCTAGGAAAGTAGAGCAATAGGATAACTCAGAATGAGTGGGAAATGGGTTCTCCTCATAGCAGTGACTGGGCATAGGAAAGGAATCTTAACAAAGCCTCTTGCTCTCATGTCAACCCCTCTTAGGAAATAGGTGTAGTTAGGGATACTACAGAACTCTTCTTGAAGGAGTGGGAAAATTCAAGGCAAACTCTTGCCCTGTTAATTGGTTCAGGATTCTTGTTCTGTTCCTTGCCCTGGAGCATTTCTCTTATCTCAGAGAACTGGGTTATGAAATTAATTTCTTGTTGGGCGAGTGGCAGCCAGTATTTGGTCTCTTTTAATGGAAGAACCAATGGTGTTTTCATATATTTGGTGAAATTTTGGGGAGAACAACCATTTTATTCGTAAAACTTATTACAAATACCTATTTTTTATTTTTTTATTTTTTGAGACGGAGTCTTACTCTGTTGCCCTGTCCGGAGTGCACTGGCGAACTTGGCTCACTGCCACTGCAAACCTTCGCCTCCTGGGCCCAAGCGATTCTCCTGTCTCAGCCTCCCAAGTAGCTGGGATTACAGGTGTATGCCACCACGCCCGGCTAATTTTTGTAGTTTTCGTACAGACAGGGTTTCACCGTGTTGGCCAGGCTGGTCTTGAACTCCTGACCTCAGGTGATTTGCCCACCTCGGCCTCCCAAAGTGCTGGGATTACAAGTGTGAGCCACTGTGCCCAGCCTACACATACCTATTATGCATAAAATATTTTGCTATATACTGGGGCTAATGTTCTGATGACAAAAAAAAATTGACCACTTACTACATGCCTTAGTTATTGGAACCAAGTATACAGCATTAAACAAAATAGAAAAAGTCCTTGCTCTGAAGGATTGTATTCTAATGGGTAGAAACAGATAAAAATGAATAATTAGATATAAATAAATAAACAGGTAAATAGATAATAACATCCACTAGATTGTACATGCTAAGAAGACAAAAAAGCAGCGTAAGGTGATAGTGGTAGGGAGCTGAGGGATTGCTTCTTTGTGTATAGCAATCAAGGAAGGCCTCTGATGAGGTGATATTTTAAGCTAAGATCTAAAAGAGGTGAGGAGTCCAGCCAGGGAGATATCTGGGGGAAGGAAAAGCATCCTAGGCAGAGGGAACAGCAGGTATAAAATCTGTGAGGGATGAGATGAGTGTAACTGGTCATGTATAAGGACCCATAAGGAGGCCATGTGGCTGGAGTGGAGTCGTAGGGAAGGAGCAGCAGATGAGTGATGGGACCTAGATCTTGTAGGGCCTTAGCCATGTGACACCTTTGGAGTGCTTTGTATTCTAAGTGAGGTGCACTAGAGAGTTTAGAGCAGAGGAGTGACTTGATCTGACTGATGTTTTAAAAGGCCTCCTCTGGTTGTTGTGGGAGAACAGACTGTGGAGGGTGGGGAAGGATGGACAGTGATGGGAGCAGGGAGACAAGTGAGGAAGCTTTTGCAGTAATCAGTAGTCCAGGGCAGGGATGATGGTAGGTTGGACCTGGGTGGTAGTGGTGGCTAACCAGAAAGCAATGGATTCTAGACATATTTTGAAGGCTCTCAAATTTTAATTCTCCCCGTAGACATGTTTGATTTTTTTTTTTTTTTAATTTTTGTCTTTGTTTTTTGAGACGGTCTCACACTCTGTCACACGGGCTGGAGTATAGTGGTGTGATCTCAGCTCAGTGTAGCTTTGACCTCCCAGGCTCGGTTGATCCTCCCGTCTCAGCCTCCTGAGAAGTTGGGACTACAGGCACATGCCACCATGCCCAGCTAATTTTTGTATTTTTTGTAGAGAAAGAGTTTCGTCATGTTGCCGAGGCTGGTCTCGAACTCCTGGGCTCAAGCTCTCTGCCTGCCTCAGCCTCCCAAAGTGCTCTATGATTATGGGCATGAGCCACTGTGCCCATCTGAGATGTTTGATTTATTTGGAGTTAACCTCTGGGTCACATGGGTTTAAGGATGTCATTGGAAACTTGACAGTGATCTCGGGTAAAATTCTAAAATTGATGGATCAAAGAATGAGAACAGTGACCCCTAGAAGCCAGCTTGTATTCATTAAGAATAAATCATGCTAGCTGATAACAATTCTTTTTTTTCTTTAAGCCTTGCCATGATTTTATTTAAATGATTGGTCCAAGTTCAGTATAAAAATATTAGAGAATAGACATAAGCAAAAACAGAAAAAAAGCACATTATCCAGAAATAATTACCATATAGCAGTTTGGTATATATCAGCGCATTTCATTTTTGGAAAGATTCCTAGGTTGCTGGAGGATTGGAATGTGCTACAAAGGTGATGTTTCTTAAGTGCTAAAATTAGGTATTTAATGTTTTCTCATGTGATCCCAAGACAAAAAAAAATTTGACCTGGCTTTGGAGCTTGTTGAATAATTGCACTCAGGAATTGTAGTAGATCGGTGTTAATCTATAGGAGGTGTTTTTAGTGACATTCTACAGGGCTGTCAGGGCTGTTTTTGGTTATATTTTGTTTTTGAACATCAATTTGGATGAAGATATAGAAAAGACATGCCTATGAGACTTACATAGTGAATGCTTGCAGGCTGGACAGTGTAGAGAATATTTAGTCAAGGGATTAAAACTAAGAAGTTGAAATCCAAAAATAATAAATAGTTATTTAAGCTGAAACTTACATGACACTTACTGTGGACCAGGTACTAGTCTAAGCAATTCTTGCATTAACTCATTTACACATACCATAACCTTACAGGTATTGAAGCATAGAGAAGTCAAATGACTTATCCAAGGTCACACAGCTAGTAGCTAGTAAAGCCAGAGTTTGAACTTAGGCTACCTGGCTTCAGAGTTCGTAAACTTTAATCATTGTATCGCATTGCCTGCAAAACAATTAAACCCCATATTTCGGTTATTAAAAATGAGATTTAACAGTTTATTTGGAAACAAAACAAGTATGAATCTACAAACTGGTACTGTGGCTGCCAGATTAGTTCATGCAATCTTGGACTTCGTTATGAGAACTGGGCAGACCAGGTCATCTTTCATCCGTCCCACCCTTTTACTCCGTTTGAACTGTCCTGGTTCAGGCCCTTATCCCATCTCTTGCCTTGACTATTACAATAGCACCCTAGTTTATCCTGTTAGAATGGTCTTTTAAAAAACTGCAGTTCTGATTGTGTTACTCCCTTACTTAATCCCTTTGTCCAATACAGGTTGCAGATTTGCTTCCCATTTCCACTTGCAGGCATGTGTGTTTTGGAGGACTATACAGTGGTATTCTTTTTATTTTCTCTTTTTTAAAATCTGAATTCATTGGCTGCATTTAAGAGATTATATATAAAAGGAGGGCATAACCCCTCTTAGCTATAGTCCTTCTAGGCCCTTGAACTCATTTAAATCATTGGCCTGATCTCTTTGGCACTTGCATTTCAGCCTTTGGCATAAAGGCTAATCATCTTTCCTAGAATGTAGTGCCTAGATCTGAAAATAGTCCCCTTTATGTAAATTTGGCCAGTACGGAATATAATAAAACTATTACATTAATTTATTTACAAAACATTTACAAGGTTCCTACCTTGCCCCTGTCACTGTATTCAGTGCCCAGGACTGAAAAATGAAGATAACACAGTCCCTGCTCTCAGAGCCCAGAGGAAGGACAGATATTTTAAATATCGTGGGTATAGTGATAGAAGCATCTACAGAATTTAGGATGGTGCATTTCTCTTGTGGGGAAGGATGTTTTGAAAAGGAAGTCCCAGAGAACAGATGCATTGAAAGATGTTTACCATTGGGCCAGGCGTGGTGGTTCACACCTGTAATCCCAGCATTTTGGGAGGCCAAGGCAGGCGGATCACTTGAGGTCAGGAGTTCAAGACCAGTGTTGACAACATAGTGAAACCCCATCTCTAGTAAAAATAGAAAAATTAGCTGGATGTGGTGGCGCACACCTGTAATCCCAGCTACTCGGAAGGCTGAGGCAGTTCTCGAGAATTGCTTG